TGGTTGGTGATATAAGATCCCACATGCTGTGCAGCGCAGGTTTCCTACCACTCCCGCCCCACCCGCCACCCGTCCTAAAAAAGAGAGATTCCAATAAGAGCATAATGAACAGAATTAGTCTTTTTTTCCAAATATTACTTTCATAACTGTGACCTTTCTGCTCCTACCTATTAATATTTTAGCAAAAGGAGGTAGCCTCAATGACTTGTCACAAATACAGATAGTATAGAAACACGAAGTATGGATGTCAGGACAAGGGCGTTTTCTACTGCCCTGGATACTACACTCCCATTAGTGGAAGATGAGGAATGGGTGGAGGACGGATAAATCAAAGCTGGGAGTCTAAAGATAAATGATTACACGTCATCTGTAACTTGGCTCCCAAGGTGATCTCATCTAAACATTCCAAATCAACACACATCATCCTTGTTCTCCAAGGTAGGAAAGCAGACTCCATAAGCCATATCAGAGTACTACTGATGAAAGAGGGAAAAGTCCAAGGCTGTTATGCTGAGTGATCAATCTGAATTTCCCATATCTATATATTGAGAGTTTTAATTCAAAATACAAAGTAGGACATAGAGTTAAAACGTTTTATGTCTTCATATAATCATTTCTAGGCAAAAGGGTCTAAGCAGTAACCTTGAGGCCTAGACTTGAGCTTCCGCGACTCCCTGTGTGCTTTTTAAGTCTTTGATGGGGGAGCAGGTTTCTGGCCACTGCAGGGAACACAGGGAGAAGCAGCAACACTGCTTGGAAGATACTGAGCAGAAAACTTCCTAGGTTCCTAGGACCGAGGATGCAGGAAGGAAAGAAGGGAGGGCAGAGAGAAGGTGGGAGGAAGAGAAGAAAGAACGACAAAAGAAAGAAACGAACCTAACAAGTTCCATCCATCTCAAGGAGTAACGATGTAAAACACTGAGTTGAAGGGGCTCTGAGAAATAGCCCTTCCACGCATCCTGGCCTCTGGGTGACAGGCGGGGAGCGGGGCTGGGGTTGGGCGGGGCGGCGGTGTCTATCAATTAGCTGAGAAACATGGTGCTGACCTGTATGAAACAGGATGCTGGGAGAACCCTTGATCTCAGACATCGGGCATCGGGCTTCCAGTGCCCAGGGCCACTTCTGGGGGTACCAAGCTGCAAACAGATGAGACTTTGACATGAGTCTTTGACACTCTCCTTGCTCCCTTTATATAAAATACCTTCTAGTTTTCTCCTGTCATTTGGGCAGTCCCCATTGGAAGAGACAGGAAGTGGAATGAAAGGCAGCTAGGAGTGAGTGGATGTGCGGAAGGAGGTGGGAAATGGCTCCATTCCTGGACATGGGTTCAGCAGGGTTTAGTCTGGGCAAGCCAGTGGTCAGAGACCTTGCTAGTCTTCCAAGGCTAGTCTTCCAGAGCTCATGCCACGTTTAACAAAAAGGAAGCTTATCTTTTACCAGATTCTTCTTCCAGCTACCTCTGAGAATCCTTGAGGACTAGTTGCCTGCTCCCAACCTCTGCACCGGCCACTGTCTGTTCTCAGGGAGCAGCAGGAAGCCAGGCTCAGCTCTCAGCAGGTCATCTCTCCCGTCTCATAACTACCTTCCTAGGCTGCTACCAGACTTCATTTCCTGCTTAATTTACTCCGACCATCCATGCACAAAGCCTCAAAGATAAGAAGGCTAGGGCTATAGAAGAGAATCACAATATAACAAACAATATTTTCCCAAAAAAGAATTGGGCTGCCAAGTCGTGCAGCCCTAGGTTGCATCCATTCTATGTCACTTAGAATCAGAATCTTTTGTTTTCTTTGGTTCAAAATTCCTATTGTGGAATTACGATGGACAGACCCAAATCTCTCTGTCTAAGAGAAGGCCCTTGACCTCTGCAGGTGCTGTCAGCTGTATCACACCTTCAATTTGTATCTGCCAACATGTAACAGAGAGAGAGAGAAGTAGTGTGAGGATGCTGAGAAGGAGGGGATGAGAAGAATTCGGTATGTAACATCAGCACTGGGCTTCCAAGCTCAGAACTGTCTCCTAATATTAACATTCTAGCTTTATTTTATTTATGGAACAACATTTCTCCATAATAAGTTATCTCCTTACAAGAAAAACTGAAGGACTATCAGTGGGGATTTGAACCAAGCTGCAATTTTTGTAACATGAGGCCATAGAGTATGTTCTTTTAAGGAAGATGCTAGGCCTGCCTTATCTCTGAAGAAAAAAAAAAAAAACACAATGAGACTGCCCTGTGTGCTGAGATTGCTAAGATAATAAATCGATGTTATGAGGCCCATTTTAATGTGTCTGAGTGAGAATCTGTTGAAACAGAAGGGACATTATGGGGAAAAGTCTTAGGGGGTGAAATTAGATTTTTCATACCTGGAGTAGAAGCTGCTCAGATAGCAGAAAAATCCTGCAAAGCCATTCATTGGGTGGCAATGCAGCAAAAAAAGACAACTCTTCTTTCAGGGGAGAGGATGGTCCAGGACAGCTCAGCTCTGTGACTGCAGTTGACAGGATGTCATGTTCCAGATATTAGAACTACTGAATAACTAACATTCAAGGCCTTATAGCCCAGAATGAACATTCTAAAGTACAAATTGTCTTTGACTTAATATTATAAAAATTCAGATTTTTAAAGTGTCATCACATGTTGGCTGTATACCAGGGCCATAATATACAGCGATGTCTGCTTACACCAGAGGTTTTCTGTGGGTATGAGACATTCCCAACACCAGTCACCACTGAATAGCCAAGTCAGATTACACACTTATTTAAGGTAGAGAAGCTACAACTGGTATAAACATAAAGCAAGAAGATTGCTAGGAAACAAAGTTCAACAGAATACAGTTGGCCCTTGAACAATGGGACTGAACTGTGTGGGTCTACTTTTACAGGATAGTTTTCAGTAGTAAACACTAGAGTACCACACTGTCAGTGGTTGGTTGAATATGCAGATGCTGAGAAGCTGAGGACAGGGAGAACTGACTGTAAGTTATATATGGATTAACCTCCGTGTTGTTCAAGGGCCAACTGTAATTGCAACTAAAGCAGCTCTACGGTAGGTAGGTCATAAAGGGCCAAAGCACCTTTGGCAGACAGGGGTGTTTGAAACTATAAACGTGTGGAGAGCATTTCAGAGAGAGGAGGTAAGGGGTAGCCTCAAGATAAAAAGTGTCAAGTTGGCAAAAGGCTGTTGACAAGATGACAAAAGCTTTTGAGGAGAAGAATGATACGATGTCAATGGTTTCCTTAGGGTGATGACTTAGAAAGAACTTCAGAGTGAAACCAGGTTTCGTTTTTGTTTGTTTTGTTTTTCTTGAAAGAGGAATACCTGTGCTCATAAAAATGCTGGAGAAGAATTAAAACTAGTGATTTAAGCTTTGGTAAATCAAGACTCTGTTCCTGAAAATGAAGGAAGGGGGAGAGGACAGTACAGAGGCCTTGATATTGAAGTGGAGAGGAGGTGGGTCGGGGAGGTGACACTTCCCACCAGCTCTCCAATGTGTCCTGCCCTAAAGCCCCAAGATCCAAAGTTACTCATCCCTAATCCTACCCCACCACACCTCCCCTTAACATGCTCCCTGCAACCCATTCCTCCCCATTTTCTACTCTGCTAAGGGAATGGATCAGCAAAGGCTTTCAGGGACATTCAGCCTCCTGTTCTTGTCTTTCATTCATTTAGTTATACATTCTTAATTCCATTTATAAAGATCATTTTCTATGTTCCTAGGGATGTAAGGCAAGCAAGACAAAATCCCTGACTTCACAGAGCTTGATTTTGAAGGAAAACACGTACATTTCAACAATAACCTTCTGAAGACAATGCTCAGCATCTACAGCCTGACCCAGTTACTTGAAGAGTGAAATTTCCAGGGAGGGAAGGAGGCGGAGTGACAGTATGAGAGATGCCTCATACTCACATACTCAATGTGACATCATTCACATGTCACACTGAATATACATCAGTCCCTTGGTGGCTGGAAGAATACCGATTATCTAGGTAATAAGTCCATGGAACGCATACATGAAAAGCAAAGATGACAAAACTTGTCCATCTTGAAGACATGTTAGAAGGTAAACAAACCTCTAAGGGAGGACTTTATGTGCCCATAAAGGGGCAGTGGTTTTCCCACCCTGATTTTCCACCAGTAGCATATGCTTCCCTCCCTCTATCCTTCTCTTCTTGTCACATTCCTGGTCTGCTATGTGCTTTTCATTTTCTCCATGCTCTCCTGCCCAGGATCACCTTCTGATTTGTGTTTAAGCTCAATAAACCATTTCTAATGTCTTCCAGGCGGTAGAGGGTACAGGTGAAGAGCATAGACTTAAGTGAAAAGGCTTAAGTAGGACTCTCAGTCCTTGAGCAATGAACATCTCTAAGCCTCAGCTTTCTTGTCTGCAAATGCAAATAACACCTACCTTGTGGCCTGCTTCTGAGAATTAAAAGCGATGTTCCTGTCAAGTCTTCATGAAATGTCAGCACCTGGCAATCACCAATGAATGACAACAAATCAATTGTCATTTATGACAATAAATCACCTATAAATAGGTGACAATGTGACCAGATAAAGCAGCTGATGTCAGCCCACCCAAAGCCTGACCAGTTTGGGCTATTGAGTGAAGTTTAAAAAAAAAAAAAATCCATCTTGAAGACATGTTAGAAGGTAAACAAACCTCTAAGGGAGGACTTTATGTGCCCATAAAGGGGCAGTGGTTTTCCCAAGCTGATTTTCCACCAGTAGCATATGCTTCCCTCCCTCTATCCTTCTCTTCTCATCACATTCCTGGTCTGCTATGTGCTTTTCATTTTCTCCATGCTCTCCTCCCCAGGATCACCTTCTGATTTGTGTTTAAGCTCAATAAACCATTTCTAATCTCTGCCAGGTGGTAGAGGGTACAGGTGAAGAGCATAGACTTAAGTGAAAAGGCTTAAGTTGGACTCTCAGTCCTTGAGCAATGAACATCTCTAAGCCTCAGCTTTCTTGTCTGCAAATGCAAATAATAACACCTACCTTGTGGCCTGCTTCCGAGAATTAATAGCGATGTTCCTGTCAAGTCTTCATGAAATGTCAGCACCTGGCAATCACCAATGAATGACAACGAATCAATTGTCATTTATGACAATAAATCACCTATAAATAGGTGTGACCAGATAAAGCAGCTGATGTCAGCCCACCCAAAGCCTGACCAGTTTGGGCTATTGAGTGAAGTTTAAAAAAAAAAAAGAATAAAAGAGCATTAAACATCAGGATGAATTACACAGCCCTTCTGGATCAGCCTTCTACTACATTTACCTAGAATGAACCAGAGGCCAGAAGGAGAATAGTCCAGTTTTAACAGCAGTCAGCCTTGGGCCTCTGGGGTTGGCCTTAATAATAGTAATAATAGGAAATGCTGAGTCATCCAGCCCCCAGGGTGAGGTGGGAACTGAAATTCTCTATGGCAGGCCTCCCTTCCAGAGCCTACTCATCCACTCTGATCTCCTGACCCACTTGCCGCTGACCTTTTCTTTGTCTCAGGCCTATTTATGTTCTCATCTCTTGCCCACTGATCCAACTGGTTATTTTCCTTCCATGGGCATGAACCTCCCAACCTCAGTTCTTGAGCCACAGCCAAATGAGCAGGTGCTCTTACCTGGGAATTTCCACCCGCTAATCAGGGGAGGCTCTGGGCAGAGGAAGGTGCTACCTTTCTTCCTGGGAACATTGCTCAGATTCTTCTTTTAAAAGGGCTGAATGGGGGAAGGGGGGAACAAATTAAAAAACTTGCTCATAGTGGAAACGGATGAAAGTGAAGGAAAGGGAAAAAATTAGACGTGTTTTGCAGAAGATAGATGAGTGCAACTACTCATCTATTTCTATGATGAATTTCCTAATCCGATCTATGCAGTCTGAGGGTGCTGCCAGAGTTATGGAGGCAGCTTGTCATCTCTTCTCTGTTATAAATTCTCCCATAATAAATATCAGTGTTGGTAACTAATTGACCTGTGCTTTATGCAGTAGGACCATGAGATGAATGGTTGGTTCTGATTTTCAGGCTGCAAACCCCTGAGACAGGCTGCAGATGCCCAGAGTTAGCGAGCTGGTCAACACCCTATTAAAATAGAGCCACACCGGAAATGCATTTCAGCATCTTCACTAACCGGAGAACCTGTGTTGACAAAAATACTTGCCCCTTGAAGTTCTGAGTGTACAGCTGCCAGCCCCATGCTCCCTTCTAAGCCCTCACTTCCTATTTCCTCAGTTGTGAAATGTGGAGTGGTTAGAAGTCTCATGCACAAGGTCTGAATGGTCACAAAGGCCTTCTCTGTGCCCCTCTTGCAACCCTGACCACAGCCCCTGCAAGTGACAGCAGGTGGGAGTGGCCGGCAGTCCAAGGAGCAGCAGCCACCCATTCAGCCACTTCCTTCCCTCTTGGGTTCCAATCTCTGATAAGCGGCCTCAGCCACCTCCCCCCAAACCCGGTGATGCAAACACAGCCATCTGGCTGTGCGGACATGCACAACCTGGCCGTGACATCTTCTCCATACTGACCACCAAGCGTGGCTGTAGCATGGGTGAGGGCTTCCAGCCTGGCTGCTCCATGCATGACCCTCCAGAAGGGCCATTGAAGAGGATCCCTTCCCAGCAGAGAGAGAGGGTGCAGCTCTCCACAGGAGACATGCACCCCCACTTTACTCTCTGGCTCATGTCAGCCACTGTTAGCCAGCACTTAAAAAGACTTACAGGCTTCCCTAGTGGCTCAGTGGTAAAGAATCTGCCTGCCGATGCAGGTGACACGGGTTTGATCCCTGGTCCAGAATGATCCCACATGCCGTGGGGCAACTATGCCCGTGAGCCACAACTACTGAACCTGTGCTCTAAAGCTCAGAAGCTGCAACTACTGAGCCTGTGCTGCACCTGAAGTCCATGCTCCCTAGAGGCTATGCTCCACAACAAGAGAAGCCACTGCAATGAGAAGCCTGCACATCACAACTAGAGAACAGCCCCCATTTGCCTCAACTAGAGAAAAGCCTGCAGAACAATGAAGACCCAGCACAGCCATAAATAAAGAAATATTATTTTGGTGCAAAAGTAATCATGGTTTTGCATTGTTGAACTTTGCTGTTTGCTATGAGAATACATTCTTAAATAAATGTGGTTATGTTATACATCATCATTTTAATGCACATTTCTTACTTTATGGTTTTTTTGTTTTATTTTTCTTTTTTTGCTGATGACTTATTACTTGCTGTTTATTTTTTATTTATTTAGACTAGGGAAATCAGTTCAGTTCAGTCTCTCAGTCATGTCTGACTCTTTGTGACCCCATGGACTGCAGCATGGCAGGCTTTCCTGTCCATCACCAACTCTTGGAGCTTACTCCAACTCATGTCCATCGAGTCGGTGATGCCATCCAGCCATCTCATCCTCTGTCATCCCCTTCTCCTCCCGCCTTCAATCTTTCCTAGCATCAGGGTCTTCTCCAGTCAGTTCTTCACATCAGGTGGTCAGAATATTGGAGTTTCAGCTTCAGCATCAGTCCTTTCAATGAATAGGAAATGATGTTAGACAAAAAGCAAATTTGAGCAATTTTCTTATTCTAGCTCAAAATGAATCATAAAGCAGCAGAGACAACTTACAACATCAACGCATTTGGCTCAGGAACTGTGAGCAAAAGTATAGTGCAGTGGTGGTTCAAGAAGTTTTGCAAAGGAGACAAGAGCCTTGAAAATGAGGAGCGCAGTGGCTGGCCATCAGAAGTTGACAATAGAGAGGATCATTGAAGCTGATTCTGTTTAAAAACTATGATTCTGTTAAAACTATATGAAAAGTCGCTGAAGAACTCCACGTTGACCATTCTATGGTCCTTCGGCATTTGGAGCAAGTGGCAAAGGTGAAAAGGCTTGATAAGTGGGTGCCTCAGGAGCTGACTGAAAAAAAAAATCATCTTTGTGAAGTGTCATCTTCTCTTACAACAACAAACCATTTCTCAATCGATTGTGACTTGTGGCAAAAAGCAATGACCAGCTAAGTGGCTGGACCAAGAAGAAGCTCCAAAGCACTTCCAAAGCCAAATTTGTACCAAAAAAAACGTCATGGTCCCTGTTTGGTGGTCTGCTGCCTGTCTGATCCACTACAGCTTTCTGAATCCCAGCAAAACCATTGCATCTGAGAAGCATGCTCAGCAGAAGGCACTGAGAACTGCAAGGCCTGCAGCTGGCACTGGTCAATAGAAAGGGCCCAGTTCTTCCCCACGACGTGAGTGATCGCACATCGCATGACCAATGCTTCAAGAGTTGAACGAACTGGGCTACAAAGTTTTGCCTCATCTGCCATATTCACCCAAGCTCTTGCCAACTGACTACCACTTCTTCAAACATTTTGACAACTTTTTTCAGGGAAAATGCTTCCACAATCAGCAGGAGGCACAAAATGCTTTCCGAGAGTTTATCAAATCCCAAAGCATAGATTTTTACACTACAGGAATAAGCAAACTTATTTCTCATTGGCAAAAATGTGTTCATTGTATTGGTTCCTATTTTGATTAATATAGATGTGTTTCAGCCTAGTTATAATGATTTAAAATTCACAGTCTGAAACTGCAATTACATTTGCACCAACCTAGTAAAGACTTGTCATCTGCTCACTAGGTCCTAAAAGTTCTGATTTACTCCAACACTTGTGCCAAAAATCAAGTCCTCAGTTTTCATTCTTATTCACATTTGTTTGTAGGCTGATTTTTCTTCGGGTCCTGGTCGGTGTGTTCATATCAATTCTTTTGGTTGTTAATGAAATGAACCAACATGAACTCATCTAGTTAGCTGGATTTTTTGTTGTGAGTTATTACTTAATGAGAAATGGGACGGAATCATGGAAAGAGAAAAAATAATTTAACTGTTAAAGGTTACAAAAATGATCATTTTATTAACATTTTCTGATTATAAAACTACTATATAATCATTTTATAAGATATGGCAAGCCCAGGAAAGTTTAAATCACCAAGATAAAAAGCACAATAATCTCAACTTCCCACAGTAATAACTGTCCACACTTTGATATACCGATATTTCCTTCCAATCCCTTTTCCCTACAGTCTTTAGTGGGACCAGGAGGCCTGTTTTTATTAACAACGCTCTTCAGCCAAGAACAGGCGCTGTGCTAGGAAACTGACATAAATATTTGCTTGCTTTCCAGCAACTTGGAAACATAGGTGTTGCTGAAATTGTGGAAACTGAGCCCCAAGAAGATAAATTAGTTCAAATCCAAGTTAGTTCAAATCACTCCCAGAGCAAAATTTTCCAAGAAGTGGACTCCAAACTGAAGCCTGCTAGTGAATTTTACAGAGAGAATGAAATGATGAGAGGAATGTGGGAAAGTTGATGCTATTCTTAGTGAGAGTTCAATCTATCCAGTTTATTATGGAATTTGATCTACTGAAAGAAATTTCTTCATTTGTATATAGCCATTTTAAAAAGAGACACTTTATTTCTAAACCCCAAACATTCACTGCTGGTCATTATAAGAAAGACCAGAAAGAAATAACTAGAAAGAAATGGAGACATACTTCTGAAGTATCTGCAAAGCAGCTCAGCTGGAAGTTTGTACACAAAAGGAGACAGAGTAAATCGTTAGCAGTTTGGGCCACAGTCAACACAGCATGAAGCTGGGCAATGTCTTGGCTGCTAGGGACTGCCAGCTGCAGATAAAGTCCCAGTGATGGGGTCCCGGGTTATTGGCCAGACATGAATAACAGCAATGAGGACAGAAATGTAATTGGAAGTTCTGCTAAAATCATCTGGGCTCAGACAAAAATATATATTTAGCAATTCCTGTACTAGCCCACTACTAGCTTTGGAGCATTAAAGGAAGAACATACAAGAAAGGCTTCTCTCATTTGCAGCAGCATGAATGGACCTAGAGATTATCTCATTAAGTGAAGTCATACAGAGAAAGACAAATATCATATGATATCACTAATATGTGCAATATTAAAAAATTATTTAAATGAACTTATTTACAAAACAGAAATAGACTCACAGATGTAGAAAACAAACTTGTGGTTTCCAAAGGGGATAGCTGGGGGCTGGGGAATAAATTAGGAGTTTGGGGTTAATATATACATACTACTATATATAAAACAGAAGGAAAAAAAGGAACTACTGTATAGCAAAAGAAATTATATTCAACATCTTATCCTATAATGGAAAAGAATCTGAAAAAATACATATACATAAAGAATACATACATAGACACACACAAACTGAATCACTTTGCTGTATACTTGAAACTAACACAACATTGTAAATTAACTACACTTCATTTATCTATGCTTTTATTTTTAAACTTTTTTAATTCTTTGTCTTTAAAAAGTTGGAATATAGTTGATTTACAATGTTATCTTAGTTCCAGATGTACAGCAAAGTGAGTCAGTGATACATATACATATATCTGCTCTTTTTTAGATTCTTTTCCCATATAGGCCATTTCACAGTACTGCTAGAGTTCCCTGTGCTATACATTAGGTCCTTATTAAACTTCAAATTTTTAAAAAAAGACTAAAAAAAGAGAGAGAGAGAGAGAGAAATGGCTTCATTGCCCACAAGGAGCTTAATTCGTTCAACAAATATTTATTGAGTTCTTACTATATGCCAGACACTGTGTGAGCTGTTCGGATTATCAGTGAACAAAACAAAGACCAACCCCCACCCAATGGAGCTGACTATTCAGTAGGAAAAGACAGACCACAGAAAGCAACCAGTAAACTGAGGCAAGCTATATAAATTCCACAGTTTTCAATGGTTAGAGTAAGAAGAGGAAGCCTTACCAGGAAAGCTCACAAGTCAACGGTCAACAAGGAAACATACCTGGTCCTTCAATCAGTTATTCACACAAAATTCATTTATTTTCAATGTTAGGGTTTGCTTTTATTTTCCTCTTTCATTTTATTTTATTATTAGTTTTAAAATTTGTAAGCTGTTTCCACTGTTTACTATATTTAGAGAAGTGTAACCTCCTCCTCAAGAGGCAGGTCAGGTGGTCTGGTATTCTCATCTCTTTCAGAATTTTCCACAGTTTATTGTGATCCACACAGTCAAAGGCTTTGGGATAGTATGGATGGATGTGAGAGTTGGACTGTGAAGAAAGCTGAGCACTGAAAAATTGATGCTTTTGAACTATGGTGTTGGAGAAGACTCTTGAGAATCCCTTGGACTGCAAGGAGATCCAACCAGTCCATCCTAAAGGAGATCAGTCCTGGGTGTTCATTGGAAGGACTGATGCTGAAGCTGAAACTCCAATACTTTGGCCACCTCATGCAAAGAGTTGACTCACTGGAAAAGACCCTGATGCTGGGAGAGATTGAGGGCAGGAGGAGAAGGGGACAACAGAGGATGAGATGGCTGGATGGCATCACCGACTTGATGGGCATGAGTTTGAGTAAACTCCGGGAGTTGGTGATGGACAGGGAGGCCTGGTGTGCTGCAGTCCATGGGGTCATTAAGAATTGGACACGACTGAGTGACTGAACTGAACTGAACCTCCTCCTCTGTCTTCTTGGTCCCTTTCTCCTGCTCCTTCTAGGAAATCATATTTACTAACTTTTTTTGAGAGCCAGCTACTGTTTTCATTTCTTTCTTATCTACTAATTTTTTATTTATTCCATGACCTTTGTTTTGGGCAAAAATAAGCAAATATTTTTATTTCCTTATACAAAAGGTAGGGCTCTGTACCTGTTATTTACTTATCTAATCTTGGTTCTGAATCTTGCAAAAGCAAGCTCCTAAAAAGGGAGCCATTTTTTCTTTTCTAATAGCTTTTCTATTTTTTATGTAACAAGTTCCCTTTTGATGGATATTTGGATTGTTTATAATCTTTTGCAATTATAAACAATGTCAGAATGAATAACTCCCTGCACATAGTCATGAATTTATAGAGAATCTTAAAAATAGAACTGCTAAGTCAATAGGCAAATGCATGTGCAGCTGTATTAGCTAAGTCCAAATTACTTTCCATAGAGGCTGGACCATTTTGAACTCCCAACAATTATGAGAATGCCTGTTTCTCCACAGCCTCACCCACAGAGAGTACTATCAAATGTTTTGAGTTTTGCCAGTCAGATAGGTGAGCATTTGTTATTTTAAAACAGTTATAATTCAATTTTCTCTTAATAGAAGCAAGATTGAGCAGCTGTTTAGATACATAAGGGACATTTTTCTGTTTTGTTCTGTTTTCCTTTTTTTTTATTGTTTTTTTGTTTTTTGTTTGTTTTCCTTTTTTGAACAGACTATTCATATCTTTTGTCCATTCTGCTTTCTTTTTTTTTTTTTTTTTTCAGAATTTTCCTGGGTATTCTTGTTTGGAATCAGCTTTTCTGATTCCAGTGGTGGGGGGGAAGGTCACTTTTAACACAGTCATCATAAACGCTCATATTAGCTTGAGGAGAACCAGCATCTGGCACTGTGCTGTTGGATCCAAGAACGTGGTGTGTCTCCATGTCTGTTCAACTCTACTTCTGTCCTTCACAGGAGAGCTTTGAAGTTTTCCTCCTATCTGTTTTGCACATTTCTTTGTACTCATTTGGCAAAACCACAACAGGATGCAGCTGAACTGAACGTGGTTGGAGAAAAGCCCATGATCATACTGACTGGTCTTAATTTACATTTATTACCACAAACCTCAAGTGGTACCTTAGTGCTCATAGGCAGTCACACTGCCCTGTCTTTCAGCCTCCTGCTCCCCTAGACAGCTATTCACACTCTCTCTTCCTCTCCTCCCCTATTCTCACTCAGCTCACCGAGAAAACCACACACAGTAAAAAAGAAGAAATCAAGAGAGAACTTCTGCAGCTTTCCCATAGGAAAATAATGCCAGCCACCCAAATTCAAATCTATTCACATACCCTCCTGCTGGGGGTGGAAAAAGATACAGATCAATACAGAGAGAGAGAAAAGCTTGTATCTTCAGAATAACTAGGAGACAGAATAATGCAAATTTTAATTTAGATGTAAATAAGAAAGTAGAAATCCAGAGTAGCAGTCACTTAGAGTTTACTCCAGAACATCAGACTTGTGAGAACTGGGTAGAAGAGAAGAGAGAGCAGCAGGGTAGCAGAACCTAAATAACATCAGCTGGGGTTCGCCACCAGCAGGAGAGAGGGGGGAACCAGGTCTAAGACGGTGAGCTGGTTCACGCTCCTCCACTGAGCTCTCCAGGGAAGGGCTGATCTTACCCAAGTGTGTGTGGTCCATCTTGACCACTGCAGGGAGACTGGGGGATGCCCAGGAAGGCAGGTCACAGCCAGAATGAGGGTTCCTGCATCACTCCAGGAAAGTCTAGGGCATGCGTGAAGGCTTGATTTCCATGACTGAGGCTTCTTCTAAATTCAGTTGATGGGGGTGAAGGCCTGGAGAACTGACAGTCACACTGGGAAAACAAGACAAACACCAAGCAATTAATAACCAAGACAGAATGATACAGCTTATATTTACACACTGATATATCTGTTAAATTATGCAGTAGAGACAAGTCAGGAGTAGTACAGTATACAATAAGGTGCTAATCAAAGGAGGCAGGGGTAAATACAAAAGATGGTTGAGAATGGACATGTGTCCTGAGCTGGAACCATCAGGGCATGGGTATCTTGATGAGAAATGGAGCCTCAAGGTAGATTCTTACCTCTGGCAAAAGATTAAGGAGACTTTTACCAAATGGACTTAAAAATGAACAGGTCAGAGGGTGTACATTGGTGATCATAAGGTAGCTGATGGACGTGTTTCCATAAAAAGGTCTCAATTTAACCAGCAGAGGGCAAGAGAACACCGAAATTGTTCCAGAATTTATGGTTTTATAAATGTACGGAATTGAAGGACTGTAGATAGGTGTGTCTTTGCAAAAGCAAACAACAAAAATAATCACAAATGTAGCCGTTTTGAAAAATAATATATTTAAAAACTGCATGTCTAAAGCAGATAGATTACTGTTGATGTTTCAACAAATTCTTGCTGTTTTAAAATTGAAAATCACACTTTCTTTAAATGGTACATGCATTTCTTTATAGATCCTTACATGCTTGACAAAATTTGAGAATATGTCTGAATAATATGACCTAACATTTTGAGAAACACTCTTGTTTGAAGATCCCATAAAGGCTCTAAAACTTCAATAATCATACATAGCAGTATTTATTTATTTATTTATTTTGCTTTTGTTTTTTCATTTATTTTTATTAGTTGGAGGCTAATTACTTTACAATATTGTAGTGGTTTTGGCCATACACTGACATGAATCAGCCATGGATTTACATGTGTTCCCCATCCCAATCTCCCCTCCCACCTCCCTCCCCATCCCATCCCTCTGGGTCTTCCCAGTGCACCAGCCCTGAGCACCTGTCTCATGCATCCAACCTGGGCTGGTGATCTGTTTCAGCCTTGATAGTATACTTGTGCCTCACTTCTGTGCACATAGCAGTGATTAATATGATAAGTCTCAGAAACAGATATCTCTGAAGAACTTAATACTATTGTAAATGCAGCATGTTTGGTAAAATGGGCTAACAAATGTCAAAATGTTAAATGGGTTGTTTTTTTTTTTTAAACAAACCTGTTTAATCTACCAGCTAAGTAAAAACGGAGGCAGAACTAGTGAGAACGGCCCTTTCTAGTAGATAGAGAGCAAGAACAGGCTTGAACCTCAGCAAACTCTTGAGGCCACCGGCTACATGTCTGCTCCCTCCAGGGTCTATCAGCTCTTCTCATGCTGCAAAAACAATCTTTGCTCCTCAAATGAAGTTTCAAACCCACAGACTCCAGACCCACATAAAGAAATTGAAGCAAAGTTCCTCCAGGTGTTTAAAATGTGCCAATGTGCCATTCACACAGTTAATTTGAGAATGGCAGGACAGTATAAAATCCCCCAGATTGGAAGCCTAGAAACCAGGGTTCTGGCTCTAAGGTGGAGATTAACTGGGTAAACCACCGAACCTCTCTGGTCCACGTAGTTTTTCATCTATGAAAAGAAAGTATAAGAGCAGGTGATCTCAAAGATCCCAACCAACTCATAGATCCTAAAATACTGTTCATTTTGTCCCTGCCTTCTGTTTCCCCATCTCAGTTAACATGTGAGCTAACAAAAGTGTAAGATACTAGTCTCTGTACAGGAAAATGTGTAATTTAAGAAAAGACTCATGAAGACAAGACCCTGAGAAAATAAATCTCTACCAATAGACTTCCAAACCTGAAAGCAGGATGTAAGGGCATTCATTTTATTTAATTTCATATGCTGAGTGGAGGATTTTGGTGCTGTTCAAACCACATTTTTGAAGTCAGCTTCAGCTTGGATATACAGCCTGCTTTTACACATCCCTGAGTCTTACTGAACCATGATCCCTGGGGACTCCTAGGTCATGAACAATCCATGTAGCAACGAAGACAATTAACAGAAGGTAGGTCAGCTAGTTCCAATACTCCTGTAGGCTGTGGAGTAAGGAAGCATTATTTCCTGCCCAGACTTTAGACCATCTGTACTGGCTGAAACATACTCAGCGCTAATGAACAGAAGAGTCAACCAGAGGAGCTTAAACCATAAGGAACAAGAAGTTCAGAGCTGCTTTTTCAGAGCTACTTTTCGAGGGTGGTTGGCAGCTCAGTGGTTTCATCCAGAGAATTAAAACCTGCTTGTCTCCAGATGTCTGCCAGGTCCCAGGCAGCCCAGCCTCACATACCAGCCCTATAAGCAGGGAGGGATGAAGGGCAAATGTAGCTTTCTTCTCCTGCATCTCTTATTTCTTCTCAGGGAGGAAAAACACTCCCCCCCCCCCCCCCTTGACTTGCTCTTATATTTCATTGGCTAGGACCAGATCACATTTATTTCTAACAGTTCTAGAGGCTGGGAAGTCTAAGATCAAAGTACCAACTGAATGAGAAATCCTCAACAAAATACTAACAAACCAGATTCAACAGCATTATAAAAGGATCATACACCATGATCAAGTGTGGCTTATCACTAGGATGCAATGATGAATCAACAATTACAAATCAATAAATGTGCTACATCACATTAACAGAATAAAGGAGAAAAATCACGTGATCATTTAAATCAATGCAGAAAGAACATTTTAAAAGAATTTCTATTTTATATTGGAATATAGTTGATTTGTGGATTTCTACATGGCTCAGTGGTAAAGAACCTGCCTGTCAATGCAGGAGACCTGGGTTTGATCCCTTCATTTGGAAGATCACCAGAACAGAATGGCTACCCACTCCAGTATTGTTGCCGGGAAAATCCCATAGACAGAGGGGCCTGGAAGGCTATATAGTCCAAGGAGTTGAAAAGAGTCAGACACGACTGAGCATACATGCATGAAACAAACAGCTGATTTACAATATGGGTGAGAGCAGTTGTTTCATAAAGGCACTAACCCCATTCACGAGGGCAGTGCCTTTATGAGCTAATCATTTGCCAGTGACTCTACTCCAAATACCATCACACTAGGGATTAGGGCTTCAACATATGAATCTGGGGAAATAGAAGCATTCAGTGCCCAGCAGAGGAGTTTTAACATATTTTGTTTTCTGCTCTACTACTTAGCTTACTGGGTTTTTCTTGTCCTTTGGCTGAAATAAAAGTCTCTGTATTGAATAAGCAGCCAGACTATTCCCAGGGAAGTGACTAGAGACACTTCCTTGGGAAGATTTTCTTGGCAGACAAGCAAAATGCATCCTGTGTGTTTCCGCAGCAGCCCAACAGAGAGCAGCACTGCGCCGCTCACTCCCTCCTGGGGGTGGGACCGCACCAGTTGTCAAATTAATTTCTTTCTTCTTTCTGAAACGCATAACACAGTTCATTCTGGCTCCTATCTATTCAAGAGTTTAGAGCCAGAACCTTAGACAAAGGGATTTTAATTGCATGCTGATAAAACATCAAAACTATTGTGCATAAAGTAACTGTGCAGTTTTAAAAAATAATGCCTTCAGGATTACAAGAGAGATTTGCCCCTGTGAGTGAAATCCCATTTATAAGCCATCAAAAAATCTGTAACCTTCAAGCAAATTCTTTGCTGTAAGCCATGAGACTGTGTCTTTCTACCTTTCAAACTGCACAGTAACACAGTACACTAAAAAGAGTGGTCGGCAAATTTGGTTAACCTGTTTTTAACTTGAAAGGGTGCTTTTTACCTCCCTGTGAAAGCCTTAATGATGAGTAAGGGTCATTGTTTGGGAAAGTTGCTAATTTCACAGAAAACAGCTAGTGTGCCTCATGTTAAACCATGAGGAGTGTATCAGAAGGTCACCTTCTCTAACCATCTTTATTTAAAAGGAAACACCCAAAGACAGCAAGGATGTGGCGTGACCTTCACGGTCATCCAAATGAGATAAAGAAGTATTCTAAGTTAAGGCAGAGATATTCAATCAAAGCATGGTACTGCCACTGGTACCTAGAATAGTCAAGATGGGCTAAAGGGTTTATAGGACAATTGATGAGACCATTGCTAATACCTAGAAACACAGAATCATCTCCCCAAAGGGAAGTTTTTGTTTCTGTTTGGGTAAGACACTTTCTATCAGGGAGTGATTAATGAGAGGCAAAATATAAAAGGTCTTACCTATTTGTCACTATCCTTAGTATTTAAGCCATAAGGCAAACAAGAGTATATATATACACAAAAGTACCTATTTCTATTTGAGGTGAGGAAGTGCCCTTCAGTCACCTAGCTTACTTTTTAGTCCAACTGACTCTTTTTTATTTCAACAAAAGAGTTCATATACATCTTGGCTCTGAAAACCCTAACAAGTCTGAAGTTACAAAACAAACAAACAAAAAAACCCCCACAAATACCCCTGCATTCTCATTATCAAATCACAAGCCTTTTAGCAGCTGGAATTCTTTGACTTGCAGCCCTTGAAAACCTCTAACTCTTCTGTTAGATTCTCCAGGGTACGCAGACATTGCCTCATTATTTTGGTTAATGGTGATTGCAAATGAACCCCTAGGTCACATAAGTATGCTCACCACTGCTTTACGGAAACCATGTGGCATGTCCTCATGTAGCTAATGACATTCCCCACATGCGTGTGTGTATTCCTAAGCTTGTCAGAGGTTGTAGCTGAGCAACAACTCCATTGAAGTTGTAACTGTCAATGCAAGATAAATGTTCAAATAGACTTGTCTACTGAAGGTTAGCATACTTGCAGAAAATTACAAAAATATTAAGAGTATAGGTCAATGAAAAATTACTATTGGGAGGAGAAATACATTAGTAAGAGTTTGGGATTAACACACACACACTACTACATAAATAATAGATAAACAACAAGAACCTAGTGTATAGCATAGGGAACTCTACTCAATATTCTATAATAACCTTTACAGGAAAAGAATCTGAAAAGGAATGGATATATAAAAATATACACTATAAATGAATCACTTTATCATACACCTGAAACTTATACAGCATTGTAAATCAACTATACTCCAATAACAAGGGGGGGAGGTTGGTATAAATGTGATTTTGGTGAAGAGGGTATGTGCAACCAAGCATGCATCTTGGTAGGGTGTTGCTACTAGTCAATGAGAAACAGATTTCTTTTGAATGCTTTAGTGCTTTTCTAAGTATAAGAAGATGCAAGAATCCAGCCAGGTTCATAAAAAATTTCTCCCCAGAATATCTTATTACCTGGGGGCCAGTTCTGTCAGTTTTCCTATAGCACAAAGTGTTTGGATTCTTTGGCAGGATTTGGGGTGAGATGGGGAAATTTTTTAATAAGAGAGGCTAGTGTTCCCAATGCAGGGGACCCGGGTTCGATCTCTGGTCAGGGAACTAGATTCTGCATGCTGCAGCTAAGAGCCCACATGTGGCAACTAAGAGCCCGCACCTTAGCACCACAGCTGAGACCCAGCACAGCCAGAATAGAGAAAAAGAAATGTGAGAGGCTTATAGTAGGTGATTCAAGTTCTTCCTGGAACTTCAAAGCAGGAAGATGAAAACGACCGCCTGGACACCTTAACCATCCTAAGAACACACAAAAGTACTTACTGAGTATAGTCTATAGTCTAGGATTTCTCTACAAGCTTCCTGAGCTGAAATAATCTGCCTCACTGGTTATCATTTATCTCCCTGGCTCTGTCACAACACTCCTGGAGTCAAGGATTTCATCCCAGAGGCCTCACTTTTAGAGGCAAGTGACCCCAAAGCAATTTAAGAATTGTGAAGAGGAGAGGGAGAAAATCCCACCCCTTGATAGATGAGCAAGTGGATGGAACCCAGGATGTTAAGCGTGGAAGAGACTGAAGGGATGCATTTTCAGAGCCGAGGCCTGTCTCCTGGTGGCAGTGCTTCCAAATGGCACACTACCCTCTGGGAGTGTTGGAGTGGGTGAGCTTTGTCTTAGGAACCTTTGTGTTCCCCCAAACTGTCTTCTCAGAGAGAAGGTTATCCTCAGACATCATGGATGAGGCCATTCCCTCCTGGTGAGCTCCCACTCCCTTGAAAAGTCCAGTGTTGAGGAGAGAATAATTCTTCAGACATGGATTTGGAACTGAAAGGTGGGCTGAGAAGCTAGCAAGGATGGACTTGCATATCTTAAGTCTAGTCCTCCAAGGTCTGCATCTCAAGAAGGAAAAACATTCAGAAGTGAATCCTGGGGGAAAATGGGAGAGATTATGGTTTCTAACCCATAGTGAGGTCGGCCAGAATGGAAGAAAGAAATCTTAGCAAATCTAACCAGGTCAAATAGAATTTGATTTAATGATTTCAAGTTACTTTCAAGGCCTGCAAATTCCCATATTCCCTGTTGCTATTACCAATTGGGAATTCCAAAGGAATATATAGATTTCTGGTCCCATGGCTCCTTGGTCTTTGGGGGTGAATGGTGGACAGTAGCAGAGCAGAGACCCTAGAGTGTCAGAGAGAACCATGTGTTTTTCTCGTCAGCCACTCAATCGACTTCAAGATGTCGCTATGGAGACCTGTGGGACGCAATTTTGAAATATAAGAAATCCAGACCAAAACTCTTTGGCAAGTAATATCTTAAATCTCATCTAAGAACTCTTACCTCCCACTTCTTGTCCTTGTTTTTCATAGCATCTGTAGCATATTTCAAGAACAGGAATGAAAAAGAAACTTTTTTTTTTTTTTGCCCTTTAGAAGAATCATTTCAAAACTTGTGTGGTAGATTGATGGCAGTGATTTAAATGGACAATGCACCCTCATCCACCTCATCTTTGCTGCAAGGGTGATCCACTGCTATTATCACAAGATCTTTGAGCTGTTTTATCTTAGTAATTTGTAGTGGTGATAAGTTTGAACTGATCTACTCAACACTCTTCTAATGAACACACATTGCAAGGCAGCCAGCTTGGCTTAGAAGTACAATTAATCCATGGAAAGGAGCAAATACAGATGGGTAAAGAAACAATCATTATAAACAATACTTATTGAAAGGTTGGTAGGTGCCAGGGCCCATTCTACTGTTTTATTCATATGTGTAATTTCATTTCATCATCACCATAGTCTAAAGGAGATAGAGATATCATTATCCTTCTGCTATGGAGGAGGAATCCAAGGCACAGAGAGGTCAAGTGACTACTCCAAAGCCGAACAGTTTGTAAGGGCTGCCATCTGGATGCTGTGCCCATTATTTTGTATTCATTCGCACAGCAACATAGTAATTCAGTGCTCCCAATAACAGCCACTTTCTGGAGACAACTAGTTTGCTCCAATATATGCAATTCTAAATTTTCCCCAAATACCTATACTGTCTGCCAAGCATTTAGCCTTTTGAAAGCAGTAACAGAGCCAGGTGTGTCTGATTTGATGCAAATCTTGAGAATGAGCTCAAGGTTTCTTAATATTTCTTAGCATGCACTTATTTGTCTGACACCTTAAAACAGCGCTTGCAAATGCATCTTAAGAGTGGATCCGTTACACTACTTTTCTCTTTAAGACAAAAAGTTCACTATGTCAGCTGTGAGCTGTCATTAAGTTCAGTGTTCAATTTCTCTGAAGACAATATGTTTTTCCTGCCTTATAACATTCACTCTTCATGCCTAGTTTCCATCTTGGCGAAATTTGCACCAAATACTACCAGTCTTTTCACTCTGCCCGCCACCCCCGTTCCCACTGCCACGATACTTTATTCCTTCCATTTTGCCCCTACTTTTATTCATCTGACACAGCTTGGGCCAGGATAAGGGGCTCTGGCACATTTTAAATGAATTGGGACAAGTTAAAATTAAGAATCAGATTTCTGAAACAACAAAGTGAGCATAAAAAAACAGGCCATTAGGTCAGATTGCTACACTTAGGGCAAAGAGGTTTAGCTCTGAGAGAAATGGAAACTCCGCAGGTCTTAATGTTTGTAGGAACACGGGCTCAGGTAAAACTAAATCTTATTTTTTATTGGGCTGACCGAGATTTTCTCTGAGCTGTACTGAAGTCTGAGACTCTTTCTACCCAAATTTCCTCATTTTCCTCTCTCCTTTCACAGGTGTGAGATCTACTTTGTGGTCCAAAGGCTTTTCCCGCCCACTCCTGCTCCCTCTTCCCTGTGCCTTTCACAGGCATCTCCCCAAATGAATCTCTTGCACTCCCGACTCTGTCTTGGCATTTGCTTCCTGGAAAACTCAAACTGGCACGATGTTCTAGTATTTAGTGACCATTTAGTCAACAGTGTAAAGAACTGGTATGGCATTTTACTCATGTTACATTTAGGCCTACATATAAACAAATTTTAAAACAATATGAATAAATACTGCAAACCATTTATCAGCTGCTGCTACTGCTGCTAAGTCACTTCAGTCGTGTCCGACTCTGTGCGACCCCATAGACGGCAGCCCACCAGGCTCCCCTGTCCCTGGGAGTCTCCAGGCAAGAACACTGGAGTGGGTTGCCATTTCCTGCTCCAATGCATGAAAGTGAAAAGTGAAAGTGAAGTCGCTCAGTCGTGTCCGACTCTTGGCGATCTCATGGACTGCAGCCTACCAGGCTTCTCTGTCCATGGGATTTTCCAGGCAAGAGTACTGGACTGGGGTACCATTGCCTTCTCTGATTTATCAGCTACCATACATATGCAATTGTTGTGAACTATGCTCTGGAACCACAGATTGGAACCTGAGGAAAAGCAAGGACATGAGCACTCAGCACAGCTGGAAAATGATATTTCACTGTACAAGAACCTATTGCATTCAAGTTATCTGAGAGGAGGTACTCAACAGTTAATCTGTCTTCTCCTTACTATACATCTCTGCTCCTCAAATCCTAATGCCGAGGCAGCATTGATCTCTAACATCTACTATAGTCAAACACAGACTTTCAGGGCACTCAGATGCCATCACCCGTTGCCTAAAAGCACTTTGGGCACGGGTTGTGGATAAGTGTTTCCCTGGGTCCTGAATAGCAGGAGTCATGACAGTAGGTGTATGATGTCCACACTATACTATATCAGAGCTGAGCTCTGGATCCCAGTGACAGGGTATTGTGTGTTTTTAATAAACTTACGTTTTCTGTATCGGTGAAATACAGATGTTGAAAGCACAGGGCTCAGGACAGAAAACCATCTTGCCTGGATCTAAGGATGGTGCTGACCCTTAACGATGGCATCCAAAGGACGAAAAGAGGGAGGCAGTCACAGCAGATCCTGAGCACATACAGAGGGAGCACCTGGGAGTCCGAAGGTCCTGGCCACACTTGGCTGCACATGATCCTTGGCTTGCTCCAGCCAGTGGGAAAGCCAGGATAACAGGTACTCGGCAAAAATGTTTGTTCAGGGAATACTTGCTGAATCAAAGAACCCAGCCAATCCAACAGTTTCCTTGATACTGTGTCTTCTTCCATGTTCCTCTTAACATTTTCCTACTCTTTCAAAAACCTCCTACATACCTTCTTCCTATATGGACTCCTCGCTATTCAAGACACAGAGAAGCAACTACATCCTAATACTTAGTACAGGCTTTATATTTGAAAGGCAGACTAATTAGAGTTCAATTAGACCTAAATGAAGATCATGCTATACTATAAAAGTTCTTAAAAATAAAATTCTATATTTATTTTGGTTTCATCATAAATATTCCACTACAAGTCAAGATGGAATAACAGGGACCATATTTATTCTCTCACCTTAAGTAGGTAAAAAAAAATGGAAAAAATGTATGAAACAACTATTTTCACACATTGGAGAACAGGCAGAGCATATCCATGACCTCTGAAAGAAAGGAAATAAACAAGGTCAGCCCTACAATTGTACCATACTACCTGGAGGTAATTTCCAGGCTGCAGTACAGAAAAAAGTAAAAATGGGAACCCAAACAGACCCCAGAAGTCTTGTTGAACTGAAAAGCAGATGCTGGCCAAGGCAAGTAGAATTGTCAAGACAAATTACCAGAAAGAAGGGAGTTGCTGAGAAAGAGAGCTCTGGAACTCTACAAATACCCTCAGGTATTTGGCTGAGTTCTACTGTTCTCTTGTGTGAAAGGAAATTACCCAAGGCCAGGAAAAGACCCACTGGAAATGAGAAGGCATAACAATTCCCAGTGCTCTCACAGGGCTGGTAATGGTGTCTGCTCTACAAGCCTGAATGGAAAAGTTTTTCGTACATGGGGCATGAGAAGAATCATCAAGAGTGTGCCACTTTAGCAGGAGGGCTAAGTTATTTCCTGACTGAAAGCAACTCTGGACTTGCCCTGACAAAGCTTAAAGGCAAGAAGTTGAAAGAATCCAACTGACTCCAAGTAACTTAACTGTGTGCCAAAACAAAATCCAACACAACTTAAAATAATGCAGTATAACCAAACATTCAAAAATGTAAAATTCAATGTCCAATATCTAACCATAAATCACCATGCATGCAAAGAAGCATGAACTATTATCTATAACCAAGAGAAATTTTTATTAAAAAACCATAGAACTAGAAATTAAGAAAATGGCGGAATTAGCAAAGATGCTGAAACAGTCTTTATAAATGTGGTCTCTAATCAAGAAGATAGAGGAAAACATGACCATTACGAGGAAAGAAATGGAAGATTTTTAAATGACCTAAGTGGTGCTCTTAGAGATAAAAAATACAGTGTTTGGTTGGAAGATATACTAAATGAGATTGATAACAAGAATGATGCTACAGAAGAAAAGATAACTAAAGTTAAAGAAACAGCAGTAAACTATCTGTGCTAGGCAGAATTCTAAAATGTTCCCAAAGAGTTTGTGTCTTGCGTATGTGCATGTAACATAATCCACAAGACAATGAATATAATGGATTCCACTCTGGTGATTGTCATATTCTAGGATACAGATGAGGCTTCCCAGGTGGCTCAGCAGTAAAGAATCTGCCTGCTAGTGCAGGAGATGCAGGTTCAATCCCTGGGTTGGGAAGATCCCTGGGAGTAGAAAATGGCAACCCACTCCAGTATTCTTGCCTGGGGAATCCCATGGACAGAGGAGCCTGGTGACCTATGGTCCCTGGAGTCATAAAGAGACACACAAGACTGAGTGACTAAGCATGAGGATACAAATGCCGTTAAAAAAAGAGAGATCATCCAAGTGGGTCTGACCTGAGGATGAGAGGCTTTGAAAGCATTGTGCTTCTCTGGATAGTCACAGAGAGGAAGTAAGGGATCAAAAGCAGGAGAAATATCCAAAGTACTTCAGCTGGCTTAATGATGGAGAAGCCTATGTGGTAAGGAATGTGGGCAGCCTCCACTTGCAAAGACCAGCAATGGGCTGAGAAGCAGCAAGGAAATGGGGACCTCAATTCTACAGCCCTAAGAAAATAAATCTTGTCAACAATCAGTGAGCTTGAAAGAGGATGCTAGCCTCAGATGAGAGTCTCATTCCCAGTTAACACCTTGATCTCAACCATGTGAGATCTTGAGCAAAGAATCCAGACGTATACTATGCCAGACTTCTGACCTACAGAACTGTGAGTTAATAAGTCAGTATTATTTTAGGCCTCAAAGTTGGTGGTCGTTTGTTACAAAGCAATAGAAAACTTATCCATGAATCAGAGATAAAAGAGACAGACATACTTGTGCACACAC